CCCACCGTCTTCAGCAGGGGCCTGAGGCACTGGGGTTCCCTCGCTTCCAGGCCTCGGCATTGATGCCAGTAACCAAAATACTGTGACTTCTGTGCACTTTGTAAAGCAGCCAATCATTGACCCCAGATGCATTGGCTGGAGTCTGCTGATGTTTTTCCTACTATAACCCATTTTATAGATTGTTAACATAAGCAAAAGTATTTCATTGCTTCACACAGAATCTGACATCTAAGGCGCCTGTCCTTCGAAGCAGTCTGTTCTACCTCTCATTTTCCAGATGAGAATGTCAAGCCCCCAAAAGCTGCCTTTCATTCTAGGTCACAGAGATGAGTAGCGGCAGAGCCAATAGAACCCGGGCCTTCTGACTCCAGGTCAAGAGCTTTCCACCCCCCTGTGCCGCATCCTTGCGGGGTAGCTGCCTTTCTGTCAGTGGGACAAACAGCCTTGTAAATAAAGGGCCTCGCCCTCCATTTTTGGTAATGAACGCACTTTATAAATGGAGTTTTAGCGTCTTACTTTTCATACCTAATTATGAGGTTTAGAATAGTATTTCTGTAGTATCCTTTATGGAAGATAAAATTAAATATTTTTACTTTTTTATTCTTTGTGAAGCCAGTTTCTGATTAAAAAATGTTTTTTGATGACATCTGTGTATTGGATGCTTCTAACATGAGTGGGTTCTGTTAACTTGCCAAGGCTGACCCAGTGGAAGGATTGCTTCGTTTCTGCTCGGTGTGCATTCTGGGAACTCGTCCTCTCAGCCTCAGGTCCTGCCTTTCCGCTTGCTCCTCTAGCACGTGGTCGCTGCAGAGCCAGGGATCGCCGCACGCTGTTCCCAGAGCCACACACATTGGGCCTTACATGTTGTCTAGAACAAAATCGATGTAATTCAGGAGGGTAAAATCCTGAACTCTTACCTGAATCCCAAATGCTAAACTGCTACTCTCAATTCTTGATAAAAGCATTACCTTGAGAAAGGTGTTCTTGTTTTCTGTCGCCATCTTCAAAACAAATTATTTCGCCCTGGCGGATGGCTCAGTTGATTAGAGCGTTTCCCAGACACGCCAAGGTTGCAGGTTCGATCCCCGGTCAGGGCACATACAGGAGTCAACCAATGAATGCAAAAATAAGTGGAACAACAAGAATCGATGTCTCTCTCTCTCTTCCCCCTTTCTCTCTAAAATCAATCATTTTCCAAGTCACAAGATCTCTGGCAAAAAAGGAAATTAGCCTTTCAGGAACATGGACTGAAAGTTTTCATGGGAGACTGTTTCGACCTGAGAAGCCTCAGTGATGCAGCCTCAGCCACATTCCAACGGCAATGACACAGAAAGGTGGGCTCCCACCTTTGCAGAGTGTTCCTGTGCCAGCCTCTGGCTGTGGGCTTTCATGTGACGCATCCTCCCATCCTCTCCTGTGCATAATTCCTGCCTTTGCCCCTGAACTTCAACTGCAGGCTAAAAAGAACAGCCAGAACTCCTTTAAGCACTTTGAAGCACTTTAAAAAAAGTAGAAAGTGTTGACACTCACTGAGCAAGCTGCTAAAGGGACTGGCCTGAAGACAGTCAGTGCCTGTGGGCGTCGAGAGACGCGAGCTCATGGCTAAGAGACATGAACGTACTCGCAAGTTGCTTTTTGAGAAGTACCAGCGTGTTCCAAGTAAGCTTTTCAAAGGACTAACCCTCTTTCATGATCAGTAGTAATCTATGCTTAACCAGATCCCTAGACCCCGAACTGGGCATGGATTTACACTCACATGCGCAGGGGCTGTGGTTAGCTGGTAGGTACTGTAGGTAACAGTGGGTGCCATGGGCAGGGTTGGGACAGGCAGAAGCAGTCCTATACTGTTTATTTATTGCACAGCCCAGCTCAGCTCAGCTTCTCTTTGGCATTTTTGCACAAATAAGTGACTTTACATTCCCTTGGGCCCTTTCTTTTTTAAGTAGCTTGGTGAGCTGGCCCTTCATAACAGAGAAACCACGGACACACAGAGATGTGGGCCATTCTGCATGTTGGGCAGGAACTGGGCAGAGCTGGGCCTGGAACCGGGGCCACCTGGATTTTGTATCCAAGTGAGAAAGCACATGTCTCCCTTGTTATGGAAAGGGAGATGCCATGTTCCTATTGCTTTAAGGACACGTAGAACACGTCATCTGTTTCATTCACCCCAGATGTACTCCCCAAAACTTCCCGAGAGATCTTGGAGGTGCCTCCATAAACACTACCTGCAGTGATTTAAATACTCCTGGGAGTTTCCCCGTTTCTCTTTTTCCTTTCTGGATTATAAATCTTAGAAGAGCTTTCCTGTATTTCCTCATTTCTGCCCTCCCCGTGGCTGCTGCCCCGGTGACTTCCCTTCTACTGGTGGAAACAAAGCCTTATTTTGAACTTGAGTATTTGAATTTTGTTTATACATCGCACATCCTGCATTGATGAGGCTCAGTGAAGATTCCTGTTAGAACTAGATGTGTCCCTGGCAAGCGGTTGCCCAGTTAGCCCACTGCTTCTAAGAGCATCGAATTCAGTGATATTTCTGCCCATGGGATATCATGCCCCAACATGTTTGAGTTTGATCAGTAAACAGAATGGGCCTTTATGTCAAATACTGTGATGGAAACATTGCCAAATCCTTTCCTGGTATCGTCTCCGTGCCCCACAACACCTGACCTCCTGTCTTGGGTGGCCTCTAGACTGGTGGCCACGGTGGAGTTTGGGTTTGGTTCCTTTGGTGAAGACTGTGGCCTGAACACATTTCTGAGCAAACGTTTGCGTGCAAGGCGAGGCGGGAGTGTCAGTTTCAAAGACTGTTGTAAATTGGTTTCCACGTGCGGAAGTGAGTTCAGTACTATGAGCCTGTAACGTAGATTCGCTTTCTGTTATCTGAAGACATTCATGTGTACGTTTTGTTTAACCTCAGATGTATTAAATACGAATAAACAACTGTATCAAACTTCTAATAAAATTTGTTTAAAAATCTTTACCTGAATCGTGCCTATCCGTTGGATGAGCCGGGAAGACGCCGAACCTCACGGTTATGAATAGATTCTAGAGGACCGGGGAGGGAAAGAGTGACTCTCAGGCCAGGAAACGGCACAAGTCAGCGGAGAGCGGTCTGGACATGGTGAACGTCCTCACTGTGGCTCTGACTCACGATTTTCCCTCATGACCATGTCTTGGTATTTATTTCCATGAATTCAAATGGTTCCCCACCCTCATCCTCTCCGGGTGACCTCAGTGTATAGGGAGTGCAGTCCTAAGTGTCTGACGTGAGCCTCCGATCTCCTTCCAGTTTTTTCCCCTCTAACTCAGAAGCGATTCTCTTTCAAAGAAACTTTTTCATAAAACCAGGTCCCACTCCTCCTCTTCCTCCTTCTCTGAGCGGCCTCTTCAGTGGCCGCCATCCCGGGCCCTGTCCTGCGTGCTCCTCCCTGCTCCCACCTGCTCCTGCCTTTCCCATGGCTCCCGGGACGGGCTCCCTCCTCCCTCGGCGGCAGTTAGTCAAAGGCCACCTGCTCTCTGGTCACGTCCGTGGCGGGACTGCCAGCATCTCACCAGCAAAGGGAAAAACAACACCGAGCTTCCCACATCTGAGGACTTCAGCATAGGTTCCTCCATTTCCCGAAGGCCCATCATAGCCCCTTTTCCTTCCTCTGCAATCTTTCTGCTTCGTCTTTCCCAGCTCACCGGCCTGTTTGCTGCCCGGGTGACCACGCAGTCACTGGGAGGGACTGTCTGGCTGCCCGCCTGCCCCATGCCACCTCCATGCCAGGCCCTCCCACTCCCACCCTCACTGCCACCCCCAGAAATAGTCTGGCCTTAGGCAGGAAGCACAAGAAATTTCTGCCGAGTGAGGCTTTTGCCAGGCCCTTTTCAAACACCCCCACCCTGGCTTCCTGGCTGCCGCCTGCGCACTGGACTCTGACCCGGCTCCAGCACCTGCAGGCCGCCCTCCCGGAGTTCCCTGGAACTTGCCTGACCCTGAAGTCCGCAGGCCTGTCACAGCCCCGAGAGCAGCCCGCTCTGCTCACACAGGCACAGGCACGCTATTCCCGGCAGCAGGTCACCGCTGACCTTGCGAGCTGTTGTTGCTGCGCCCAGAAGCCTCCCTGTGCTGTTCTAAGGGCCTCGGGGCTCATGGAGTGCACAGCCCTCGGAGCAGCTTCACACATTGTTTGCGGGTAGTTTTTTCACACATAGTTTTCGGGTAGTTTTTATCGCGCGCTAACAGGCAGTGCAGGCCATTTCAGTAAAATTACGATAACTTTAGTTTACGTATTTATACGTAACCCGCATTCTACCGCTAGTCTATAAAAAACGTATTAATACGTGTCCCGCGCTCTACTACACTGGTAGAACGTATAAATACGTAAAACGTATAAATACGTTTCCCGCATACAATGTGTTCAGAAATCAGTGCTCTCCCTCCCCTCGTTGTGGCCGTGAGCACACTGTTCACTCCTAGACCAGAGACAGCAACGGCAGGGAGGAGCAGCAGGACAGACAGATGGAGCTGCAGCGACAGCCACTTAGTACTTTCCGTTCTGGACGGAAAAGAGAGAGGAAGCTTCAGTGGGACTGTCACTCACTCAAACAACCAGCTCATCCAGCCGTATTCCAGGCTTTGAAAACAGGCCGTGAAGTTCAGGCTTAGCACATGCTACCATGTCAGTGTGAATGAATAGGTCACCCTCGTCAGATGAACACGTATGACGAGGAGTCACGCTGGAAGCAGAGCGACAGCAAATGCTCAGGCAGCCAGAGAACCGACCTCCTTGTAAGAGCCCCCGCTAAGCCCAGGACTGCAGACAAAGCAACGCAAACCAAGCACCCCCCAGCACTTCCTGAGTGCAGGCGTCAGTGTTTTAAAAGGGTATAAGCAGGCAAAGGCTTCAGATTCACGTCGCAGCAGAGGTACCTTCCCAGCCCTTAGAATCCTGCGTCTCTATTGGGCATCCTAACAGGTGAGTGACGGGACGCATCGTGACTAGTCCATCGTTGTCTTCAAACCCAGATTTTTAAAACTTTTATTCTGTGGTCAGCAAGTTTCCCACTTGGCTGTGAGTTGCTATTTAAAACCAAAGAGCAACTGTACATGGCTGGCTGCACATTTATATTAACAATCAATTACATAAGCCCCAAATATAGCCACATCCGAGCTCCGTAACCAGGATGTCAGCGAATGAAGACATGGCGATTCGGGAGGAAGTCATTCTGTGGCAGGTGAGCTGAGTCAGTGTGACGGATGCCCCACCTCGGCTTGCAGCCCTTACCCCCCGGCTGCCAGGCTCACGCAACTGCAGGAGGAACCGCGCGCCTGCACGAAGGCAGCTGACTTAAGGAAGGAGGAAGGGGGTCCCGCCTGGTGCAGGCTTCAGAACGAAAAGCTGCTTTTCAACGTCTCCGGGTGGTGCCACCCTCCAGCTTCCCGCTTGGTCTGCTCCACGTGTTCACATCCTGAAAAACCGCCAGGACAGCAGCAGCGGCTGACGATGGCAGAGGGAGAACTCGGGGCACAGGAAACCCAGCGTGGAGTCCGCTCGCTCTTGGTCGCTTGTGCGGCGCTTCCCAGGTAAACAGGAGCCCGGTTGCCCTTGGCACACACAGTTCAGGCAGGAGCACCGGGACCCAAATGAGCCTCCACACAGACGCATCTACGGGCGGGGCCCCTCGGTGCTCTGAGGACCCGAGCTGGCCTCGGGCACGGGAAACAGACTCAGCATCTCCATCTCCAGCGGGTGCAGGCTGCCCCCTGTGATGACCAGGGAGTGCAGCGGCCCCCCCAGTGCCACGGAGCACATCTGCTGCAGCGTGCCCGCAGCGATCTGCTGGTCTTCAGCCCCTACCCGGGCCAGGCCCACGCACAGCGTCTCCTCGGTGACCGCTAGGCAAGAAAGAGAGAGACCGCCGCTCAGTTCCGCAAGCCCACTAACCTGCCGGCAGTCAAGCCAACAGCAGTGCCAACGGGACATTTAAAGGGGCCCCAAATCTCGAAAATCTCCTGAGTGGCTCATTGAGGACCCATGATCTGACCTAAGTCTTTTCTAAATCGTCTGTACTCAAGGATCTCCTTACAGATTTTTCCCAGGAGGAGACAGATGCCCAAAGGCAGTCAGCACCTTGAAACATACTGACGGGTTCCTTTAAGAACCCTCCAGCAACATCTATGCTAGGCGCTCTGTCTACATGTTAGGAATATAAGGACAAGCTCTCGTGTCTGTCCTGAAGACAACCAGCCCTGCTCTCAGTGCTGAGAATGAGAAGCAGCAGAATAAATATACTGTTGCCGGACAAACCTCACTGTGGAGTTCTGTACTGTAACTATAGTTCATTTGTGAGAAACCCCCACTTTCTGGGATGGCACTGCTTTTACTAGGAAGAACCCATTATTTTTCTTTCAGTACAACTCTCGGCTGCTGAAGTTTCAGCTGAGACTGGACAAGAACGAGCAGGAGGCGCAGTGACTCCGGCCTCAGTGGAGGCTGTCTATCCAGTGTACACGTTAGCCGCTCCAGCATTCTCCAGTGCAGGGCTGCGGTGCATGTGTGTACATGTGTGTGCATGTGAGTGTGAGAGCCCAGCAGTGTGTGTGTGTGTGATCTGAGTGTGAGATGTGAGAGCCCAGAAGGGACCCAGGTACCTGGCTCCTCTCCACGTGCTCGCTGGTTCTGAATCACTTCCAGCAGCTGCTGGGCCGCCTGGTTCACGGTCATGTAGCGAGGAGGCTCGTAGATCTTCCTGCCCCTGGGGTAGAACACAGGCTGCCGTTGGTCTTGGCTGTGAAATGCATTGTGCATATGAACGCAGCACCCCCAGGTACACTCAGGAACCACACCGGGCTGCTTGAAGCTCGGATGGCACCCACCTACGCCGCCATGAAAGCACCGACTCAGTGGATTCTCCTCGGTGCCTCAAGCTTTGCTCACTGTTCTACTGCACGTGCCCTCTGGCTCACTGACATGTTGGCAGAAACAAAAGTCCAGCAATTTGAAGATAAATGCCTAAAAGTTACCTTCATTCGAAGTGACACCTTAGGCAAAAATCATCCAAAATGAGTGCCAATTTGTTCTGTATCTCAGCTTAATTGGGTCCAATCGCGTTTATTTTCATTACCATGTTTGACCCCCAAGTTCCTCTCTTCACTTCCTCTGCTGACAAAATAAACTAAACAGTAAACTTGAACATCTTGGAGAATAAGACATGTCTACGTCTGTGTGACTCAGAAGCCTGCAGTGTTCGCTCAGTGATCAGAATAAAAACAGCGTGGCAGCTTACAAAACAGTTGCTACAGATTATTTATGACTTTCAAACCATCCTGAGGCAGCTGTCTGAAAGAAATATAGCGCAAGCCACAAGCATCGTTTTACATTTTACAGTAGCCACAGTAATAATGAAAGTTTTAAAAGGACAAAATCAATTTCAATAATGTTTTATTTAACCCAATGTACTCAAAATGTTGTATTTCAACATTCACTCCTATAAAATTATTAAAGAGTTATCTTGTACCGAGTCTTTGAAATCTGTTACGAAGTCTACGCTCATAGCACATCTTGATCCAAATGCTAAGTTTTCATTGGGAATACTTGCTCTGCATTTAGATTTCATAAAATTCATGGCTGTTGATAGATTTACACGTTGAAGTTGTTCTAAATCGACTGAAAAGTTTTCCAGTAGCTGAGCCGATATTAGTTTTAAATGAGTGAAGTTACAAATTCAGTTCCTCAGGGACACCAGCCCTATGTCAAGTGCCATTATCATGTGGGAAGGAGCTGCGTCTCTAAGCGAGAAAGGACTGTCACTCTTACCTTCATGAGAAGAATGAGGCTCAGAGACGGAAGTTACCTGCCCGAGAGCCATAACCACGGGCAGACTGAGGCCTCACACCCCTGTCTTCTAATGCCTCATTCATTCATTCATTCATTCCACAAAGAGTGCCCCGTGCCTGTCAGGTGCCGACCACCGACCACGTGCTCACAAGTGAGCCGGTCAAGCCCACTGCCGGTTCCGCTCCATCACACGCCTTATCACTTCGTAAGATGACAAGTGGTCCAATTCTAACGGTAAGGAAAGCTGGTTTCGACAGCCTTAGAACCCGTGTCCCTGAAGCAGGCTCTATGGACTTGCTAAGGGATTAAAAGCATTCCCAGCGTAAGACTTACTTGATTAGGTTTTCCAGTGACTGCTCCTTTACTTTGATGTCTGTAGAAAATAAAAAAAACACAGTTATCTTTGGGTGTGATTAATCCCTCTATCCAGAGTCCTACGTGTGAACCTAAGTTTTGGGGCAACAGTCTCCTCAAGTTTCCAAAAAGCTCATGTGCTTGTATTGAGCCGCTTTTCAATGGAACCACGGGGAATGGGAGCTTGTGGTTGTGTGCAGGGAATTAGGAAACAAACCCAGGTTGGCCCCAAGGCCATCCTGAGGGGATCAAGTTCCTCTTGGGAGAGAAGACACAGGGAGGAGTCTGACAAACACCCGCATGCGCGGTCCCTAACTCTGAATCTGCAGCTTTGCGTCCATTTCTCCCAGCTGGTGAGCAGTCTGGGTGTGCTCCTGTCCTTGCCTCGGTTATCGCAGTGCACGTAACACACACTGCAGGGAATTCTGACTGCATGCGGAAGCGATGTTTGCCTTCCTCTGAACGGTCAGGCGTGCCCTGATAACTTAAGAAGAAACACTTTGATACCAACAGTCATAAATGATCAGGGCTTTCCCAGCATTAACCTGGGCCAGGCCCGGGATGCCGTGGAGGCTGCCGCCCGGGTCTACCCCCAGGAAGCCCGGCTGTCCGCGCATCACACACACTGGGTGCTCTGGCGCTCGGCTGCACTAGTTGGTAAAAGGTAGAAGGCAGACTCCCTCCCCGGCCTCAGGGGAACTCGGAATACAGTGGCAACAGCTGCTTCCTCTCCACAGGCTCACAACACGCAGGTCAGCCAGAGTTTGCTTTTGCAACAATAAACAGAGCGCAGCGGAGGGCTTGCGATGGCCCCTTCAGTGCTCCCAAGTGAGTTAGAAAGGGTGCTTACTGTAAGGTTTTTCAGAATTGAACCCATTCATTCATTCATTCATTCATTCATTCATTCACCTGGAGCTTCTAAACTGGCATTTGCTATAGTAAAGATTGTAATTTAAGATTTCCTTTCTTTTTTTTAATGATATGCTCTACAGAATTGTATTTTAAAAACGAAGAGGATTGCCCTGTCCATTTTGGCTCAGCGGTTAGCATCAGCCCGCAGACCGAAGGGTCGCAGGTTCAATTCCTGGACAAGGGCACGTACCTCAGTTGCAGGTTCATCCCCGGCCCCTGTCGGGGCACATGTCGGTTTCTCTCTCTCTCCCCTCCTCTTCTACCTCTCTTCCCTTCTCTCTAAAAAACCAATGAGAAAAAAAATATCCTCAAGTGAAGATTAAAAAAAAAAATGAAGAGGCTTGGGAGAATTTTCATAGGTAAATGCTTTGAAATTGAATGTAAGTGGTTTCATCTCAAGCCAGACCAGTCTGTACTGTCCCTGTCGCGACATAGGCCGCAGTCCCTCCTCTCCTACGCGCTGGCACAGGAGCTTCTGCTCAGCTCAGAGCCAGGACCCAGCGTGGCACAGAGGGTAGACACTGCACACACGCCTCCTGAATAAGTGTGCTCTCGGCTCGCCCACCACCCCCCCTCCCCCACCCCCACCCTGGAAGTGGCTTGGGCACCAACTCCTTCCTAAGGCTTTGGTGACCTCCCTCGAATGCTCATTGTCCTTGGAAAATCTATACAACGAATGCTATACTTTACTCATCTGCGTGTGATCCTCCGGGGCTGCCTACCATGGTATATACTAGGCTTGCCCAATAGTGGTCGTTCAATAAGTACATGCGAACTTAAATGAGGCCCCAGGTGACTCCATGATGAGCTCTCCGGTTGGAGGGTTTGGCACCATGGATTCCCATACAGGGTGGGGCAGAGGAGGATTACAGTTGGGAGAACTCGAAACAGTTTCTTCTCGTGTTGTTATTTATTAATTATTTTTCCATCCGAGTAACTGTAACCCTACTTTCGCCCCACCCTGTGTTTCACACCTTGTTCCTGCTTTTGTTAACGGAGCAAGAAAGATATATTGTTTAGCCTTGTTTGTCCTTTCCCAGGAAAGCCAAGAAAAGAGGCAGCTCTTAGAAAGAGAGTTCAAGAGCCAAAACTGGAGTCTGTCCTTCCTGCCCCTCCACACAATGGAGCGTAATTGTTCTTTTAAACTTCGTGTGTGCAACTGCTCGTTCCAACCCCTGAGGGCAGGACCCACCCACCCCCACAGTGAGCACTGGGGAAACACTCAGCAAATACCTGCCGGCTGACCTCTACCTGCCTCTGCAAAGCTTCCCAAAGGTCAGCTACTTTGCTCCCCCCCCCGCCCCCCTTTATGGCTGCATGGAGAAGTTTGGGGGTGGCCGGCCTCTTAAGGCTCTTCTCTCCCTGTTCTGTTTAAAACCGCTCAGTTCTACTGTAAAACACACACAAGCACCCAGACTCCCATGAACCCCAATTTCCAATCACCCAGCTGTCATACTTAACTACAAGAAAGTAAGCCTGGTCTCTTTCCACGTGGAAAATCCAAGGACAAAACTATGAAACTAATGACTTAATTAACAAAGTACTAAATGGCACTGACAATAAGCTGAGATGAGAACACACAGCTCCCCAGTCAGTTGTGAGATGTGGGCATTATATGCAGAGAGAAGCATCCGAGGTCTGGTCTGGACCTAGAATGAATCAGGTGTCCGTGTGATGGAATAAAAGGAATGTGTTCTGGCTGGAATGGAACGAGTAAGAGTTAAAGATTTTCTGTGCCAAAGGGAAATGAGACCAAGTCTGAGAAAATAAACTACAGAAACCCTTCAACCAATGACCTTCCAATAATATTTACTGCACTGCTGCCCTGGGCCGGACCTCTAACACTGGGGAGAAGGCAGGGAAGAAACCCGACAAGTTAATAAAATAATTCAAATGGGCTAAGATGAAAAAATAAATAAACTAAACCAGGTAATGGAAAGGAGACCCCTGGGATACAGCGGACACCACATTAGAGGAGGTAAAGTCACTACAGATCAGTGGAAAGGGCAAGACAATAACTTCTTTAGGGCCTGAGGGCCACAGGCCTGAGTCCCGGCCACTTACGCTGCCATCGGCAGGGACGCAACCACAGGTGACCATAAACCAACATAAACCAAGTACAGGCGTCAGGTACAGAGCGGGACTAGCTTCCTAACTGCCCGAGGGACTAGCCTCCCGCTTCTACCCACTGGAAACGCACACCGTGGCCCCACGGGCCCCACGCCCTTACCCAGTAGGCACAGCGTGTGCATGCCGTTCTGTCTGTTCTTCTTCACTTTGTCAAAGAAGCTCTCCGGTCTCCACGTGTCGGTCCAGAAAACAATGGACACCGTCTCTCCGAACTTGTACAGCTAGAAAAACACACACAGCCCTAATTAACGCGGGACAGTGCGCCGAGGGCCAGTTCACAGAGCACAACCGAAATAAAAAGCGAGAAGCGGGCTTGAGAGGCGGGTGGGTGGGTGGCGGCCAAATCTGTCCCCAAAAGGAAAAGGCAACTAGTTCTCGTGGCCCAGCAGCCGGCATGTTGTCGACATGCCTCGTATCTGTATGTGGTACAGGCTCATAACCAGTTCGTGACTCAGCTAGGTAGCTGCTAAAAATACCGAAACACAAAGCATCTGGTAAGAAACAGACCAACAGAGACCTCTGAGCAGTCGGCGGGGTTCCCAGGGGAACGGAATTATCCTTACCTAACAGGTGAGACCACCGAGGCTCAGGAGGAGCAAATGGCTAGTTAGGAAAGAAGAAGCTGGAGCCGAGGTCCGAGGAAGGGCCTTGCGCCCCGGCCCCTCAGTAAGGCCCCCGGCGCCTCCCTCCAGCCCCTTCCTGTGCGCACTGGCCATTTGCAACGATGCTTGTGGCTGCATTCTGACAAGTTCAGCTGTTTGCATTCTACAGAGCATGTTGGGCATCTGGGACCAGATTCTGAAATAGAAGTCTTACCTCTATTAAAAACCCTGTAAGGGAAAACTATTGTTAAGGAAAAGCATATAGGCAACCATCAGAAACACTTTAGAAGGGGCGTCGGTATTTAGGAGCCTGGAGGTAAGTGCCTCGTTCACAGAGAAGGGGACCAAGCGTTGAAACGGGCATTGAGATGCGGGTCACACACAGGCACCAGCCGCACCATTCTCTCCGGACGCCTGACTCAGGGGATTAAGGGAACCGCCCGCCAGCGCCGCTTCCTGGACCCTGATTTAGGGGCTGTAACCATTCCCAGGGCTGCGGTGGCGCAAACTTCTTCAATGAATCCTGGAACATTACGCAAACAGTTTCACCATTTGGATGCCAGTACCTCAAAGAACAGAAGGGCCCGTCTTTGTGTTGCACAACCCAACACCTGCCGGTAAACTGAAAAGCAGCCCAGGCAACATCGCAGTGACGAGAACCGAGGCTGCAGGACCAGGGGTGCCCGGCTTATCGGGGCCTCTGCGCTGTGACCATCTACTCCCCCCCCACACACTGCTGACCCAAAGCTAGACGTGAAGGCCATAACCAGAGCTGGCTTCTACAGATCAATGCACGCTTTTGTTTATTTGTTTGTTTGTTTTAACCTGGAGTAAGTTACACAGAAAGCAGTTTATCTAACTTGATGTTGGATAATGGATTTGTCTGCTAAAGACAAAAACTCAACTCAGAATGAGCCATTTCATTACATGTAAAACACTATCTGGTTAGAGTGAGAAGATACACAAGTGAGGCACATGTTAGGCAGCAAGTAATGATGACCTAAGGTGACACGTAGGCCGTGAGTGCTGTCAGGGCAGCACTTCCCTCGGACGGAGCACCTGTGGGGACTTCTGCAGAGAGGGTGTCAGTGGGACTAGAGGAAGGGTAAGACTCAGGCTGTGGCAACTGCGCACTGGGGAAGGCTGAGCTGGCAGGGACAAAGGGACAGAGGTAGGAAATCTTGGGCAATATTTACAATGGCATTGAGCAACTTACCTAAAAATAACTAGTGCCCGACTTGCCTCTAACAAGTATCTCTACCTTATGACATCTTACCATAAACCAGTGGTTCTCAACCTTCTGGCCCTTTAAATACAGTTCCTCATGTTGTGACCCAACCATAAAATTATTTTCGTTGCTCCTTCATAACTGTCATGTTGCTACTGTTATGAATCGTCATGGAAATATCTGATATGCGGGATGGTCTTAGGCGACCCCTGTGAAAGGGTCGTTCGACCACCAAAGGGGTCGAGACCCACAGGTTGAGAACCGCTGCAACCAACCCGTCTGTTCCAGCTCTACAATGTCCACTCCTGTCCATTTCCACTCAGCAATGTACCTAGAAACTGACTTGATTTTTCTTCCCTGAGAGCCCTCAACACCACTTGCCTGAAAGACGTTAATAGTTTTCTAACTTGTCTCACTGCCACCAGTAGTCCCGTCATTTCTAAAGCGCAGATGCTTTGCAAACTCCATTTTATAATTAGGCTTTAATGCTTTCATTATTTTACATTCAAGTAAAAATATTTTGTCACTTTTAAGTTAAAAAATATCTTCTCTGCATATGGCGAAATTAGTAAATTTAACTTGCTAAGACCACTATTAAGCCCCACACGTATCTCTTATACGTCTGTGCTTTCAAAATCTGATCAGTTAAGTCTGTAAAATGAAAGAAAGCTGAGCTAGCAGACCTGTCAAAAAGCGCCACTAAACCACATAATGGCGAGTTACTAGTTTTCCATACGGAATCCTGGTCTCGGAGTTGGTTTTTTAACCCTCATGCATCTGCTGAGCATTGACACCACGCGGATTTTTGCTGACGCTGGGAAGACTGCACAGGGCCGCACACGAGGCACATAAAACCGAACGAGTAGGCGGACGGAAAATGACAAGATTTATATTCTCACACAAATGAGCGAATCCACACAGGAATTAAATGAAAGGATTATAATTTAAAGCATATAATCCCGCAGACAAGATCCAACTGGGGGGAATAAATACATAAATAAATAAGCAATTCAACTCAGCGGATACTTGTTGCATATCAAGGACATGCATGGCACTGTGATAAAGTGCAGTGGGAGGCGGAGTCAGTGACATAGTACACACACACACACACACACACACACACACACACACACCATGCAGCACTGTGTCCAGGATGGGTTTACCAGGACTGTTTGAGTAGGAGAATGGCACATTCAGGTCCACAACAAAAAACAACTAGAAGTGGAGGAGAATGATGGCTATTAAAACAGGGATTATATAGTAAAAGTTCTAGTGGAAATGGAAAGGAAGGAAAAACTTTTTCATATGCCCATTATTTAGCAGGCGGTCAAAAATAATTCCAAAGTGACTCACAGACTAGAGAGCGTATTGGACGAGTCGCTGTGAGGCTACATCACTGTGCAGAACGCGGTCCACGTACTACCTGGCTTAGCCTTTGTGCTGGGTTAGGCTGTCACTTCCACACCAGTCCCGGGACACCAAGAAAGCCCACTTAATGCTTTTGAAGGACGGGGAGAGCCACTCTGAGGTCAACATGCCAGTAATCACAAGTAGAAACCCACCACATAAACAGAGCAACAGATGACAACAAGCGAGGTCACTTACGCAACAGCCGGAGAAAGTGGAAGTGCCCCATAATGACGAGAACATTTTACAACCTTCCCCTGAAGTCAACCACAACCGAAAAGGCAGGTTTGTGTTTTTTTAATCGTTAAAATGTGTTATTGTAATTACAGAGATAGTCAACGCCACATTACGGGCACTATGTTATTTTCTGCACTACTCTTGATCCCTTTCTCAAGGTGAACTCGGCCTCCTCTACCCCATTCATTCTCTGGCTGCCTGCACAGCGAGCAACGTCCCGTTGAGCAAGCCACCGTGACCTCGGGCTCTTTTTCCGGAGCACTTAAGGTAACTCAGAGCCCGTCAGTGAGTACGAGCGATGCCAACTGCTCCTACCAGTGCCCGCACTTGTCTACATAACATTTCAAAGACTCATCGACAGTAGAGATGGCAAAGGCCAGTTAATCAAACCTGCCCACTCTGCCAGCAGAAGCATGCAAAGGAAGAAATCCTACCACTTCCTGCTATTTTAACGATGCGCATTACTAATAGTCACAATGCTGTTTGTGTTATGTGATTTCATCCTAAAATCACTTCTTTTGAAGGCAATCTTTCTTTTCCAAAAGGGTACTGGATTCAGACAGCGATGTTACCACCCCAAAGCCAATACGACGAAGCTAAGCATGAAATTCAGGTCAATAACATCTCCAAGCACCAGCCACTTGCAAGGCCGCAGCCCTGCTGGGTGTTTTGAGAGACAGGCCAGGAGAACCTGGAGCCCCGCCCTCGTGTTTATCACCTTAAGGTACTCGTTTGTGATAGTGAACACATACAGCTATTCTGGTCATTCCAAGAAAAGGACAAGATAACATGTAACAAGCAACTCCTAAGAACCAAGATTGTTGGGTTAAAAATAACTAACTTTACACATTAATAACCACAAAGTTGGCTTAAAAGCTTACTATCCGTGGCTTTGGACTCTTTTATAGATTCTTTTAAGAAATGCTGCAGCGCAGGGCCCTGATCGCACAGAAAGGAACACTGCATGCAAAGCGTGGGCCCCACAAGGCAGCAAGGCATTCGGGAGAAGGCGGAGGCTTTTGGAGTCCTGAGCCACTTTAATTAGATTATAGATTATATTTACTTCTGAGGTAGGCGCATATTAATGTAAGATTAAACCTTCCTCTAGTTAATTTCAATGATCTATTCCAAGGGGGGTGGGGGAGAGCCTAAATTATAGAAAAACAGTATAAAAAGTTTTAGTATTAAAAAATTGAGTACACACAAATGTAGCATAAAATAACATCTTACAGTCCATGAAATATAATAATTGTAGAAAAATGACACGTTTTTTTAAAAACCACTTCCTCCGTGGTTACCTGTAGACCGCAGCAGCCCACGGCGTTCAGGATGGAGGCGTTGTGGATGACTCGGTACGGGATGCCCAGGCTGGTGGCCCTCAGAATCAGATCGCTGTGCGTCGTGGCCCTGGGATGAGAAGAGACCAGTTGGGGTCAAGGAACCAACTGACTTTCTAAGACAGCAAAGCCATAATATTTCATGCGTCACGTCAACCCGAGGGTCGAGGGCACTGCTCTTCCTCAGTTCCCGGGCTTTCGGCAGGAACAGGGTAAGTCTACACACGCCCTTCTCGAGGCTGACCTGCACCTGTAACACGAGTCAAGCAGCCTGGGCAGCTCCAGGGAACCGGACAGTTTGCCTTGAGCTTCTGTCCCGTGGACACCTGCACAGACACCTGTGGACGGGTCCCAGCAGCTGAACTCCGGAGCAGCGACTCCCAAACTTTTCAGTGTCAGGGCCCAAATTGTGGCAGAGCCAGAGCTACTTCTTGGTCTCTGCTCTATTCTGAGGGGTGTTTTTTGTACTTGAAATCCAAGGTGGCAGGATATACAGAACGTTTGCATAGCCCGTTGATGTTCGTGGTTGTAGTCGGAGCTGTAGCTGATAGAGCTGTAGCTGATAGAATCAGCCAGATTTCACCACCATCCGGCAGTCACGTTATATATAACTGTTATCCTAATTAGTATGTGTGCGCACATTCTGCCTGTTGCCTTTCCTTTTTTGAGCTGAATCTAATGCTTATAATTAGGTCGATTGTGGTGAAGAGAGAATATACAGGGGTGGGCAAATGTAGGTGTACAGTTGTAATACAAACAACTGTAATAATAAATAACAATGCCAGAATAAACTCTGTTTTGTGTACTCACCACTGTACGCCTACTTTTGCCCGCCCTGTATATAAGTATAAATGCAGAGACTCTGAAATGTGCCACATGGATTCAGACCGCATTACTAAAGAGGCCTTTCCCCTTGAAGCCCAGGCCTGCTGGGCTGGCAACATTAGCATGTTGGAGACGCTGGGACAACGCATACCAAGTAGGAAGATCAAGGGCTGGCACCCCAGGAGGCCGTCACAAGCAGATTAACGAATGCCCCCCAGGGAGGCCTGTTTTTAATCATCCACATACAATAAAAACTAGTATGAAAATCAACCATTAATTTGATTTAGAGTAGGCTTTCAAAAAATAACACGGATGGCAGTTGTAAAAAAAATGTTCTTAATAGCACAGCCAACAGAATTTCACGACTTACGACTAGATGAAGGAAGACTAAATTATGGACTTTGGTGAGTGATTTAAATAGATGAGCGGAAAGGAAATCTGGTTTAAAACTGTATCTCTCTCTATCACCAGATCATTTAAAATGACCAGATGCGGCTGGGGTGCTAGAAGACTTAATGACCTGGCAGAGGGCTTTGATTCTGTGGAACTGACATGCATGTGATTAAATAAGCGCCCCCCCCCCCAATTTCCGCTATAAAAATGTGACGAAAACCGGTATTTTATCATCACGATTATCTGGATTATATTGCTTTCATGAGAAGGAAAAAAACCAGTTTGAGACATAGGCTCGAACCAGTATACTAAGCACTCCTTCCATGCCAGGGCTTGGAAAAAGTTGCTTCATTTATGGTGGCCGGAAAAGTGTGTGTGTGTGTGTGTGTGTGTGTGTGTGCAAAGACAAACATTACTATTTCTGGGCACGTGGCTCTGTCACAATCATACACACACACACACACACACACACACACGACTGTGGATAGTCACATGCCCAGAAATGGTAATAAATGTGTCTTCATGTGCTTGTCCCTTGGAATTGCTAGGAAGGCAAGTCTAAGAGGAGATCCAAGAATGTTTTGATCAACGGCATCAATAAAATAACGAACATCACGGTGACCAATTTGAATGTGTAGGACTTGGTATGTTTATGGTAAGTTTTATTTGATGGCAACATTAGTTTGCAGACATTGTACCACCACGTTTGAGAGAAGTATGGCTGGTGACCTGGAAATTCACTAATATTTGCAATGAGCTGGTAAAAATGATACTCTCATGAACCCCCAGAAGCTATAAACTGGCACCATCCTTTGGAAAACTAATTTGACACGATACGCTTGAAAATGTACATGTTTAAAACTTTTGACCTTTTTTTTTTCTTGGTATTTTAAACCTACTTTAGGGAATCTATAATAATAAAAGCGTAGTATGCTAATTAGACCGGACAGCTGAACGACCTTCTGGACGACCTTCCGGATGAAGCCAGGGCTGCGAGGCCCGTGCCCTTTGCACGAATTTTGTAGAAATAATCTAATGTGTGGGGATGGGAAAGTGGGAGGAGAGAAGAATCCTATACATTAATCCCCACGTGGCAGGCTTTAATTACATTGGAGAAACCAATGGGCTACTGATAATAATGCGGACGCTTACCGGACAGTTAGGAGGTGCCAAGCACTGTCCGAATGCATCACATGAGGTGGAAACATCCAACCACCTACCTGAGGGCGCACGGAAACAGGTGAAGAAAGGTGTATTTTTGCATGTGTACGTCATGAGGGAAAAGGCACCCACATAAGGATAAAAAAACCATGTGATCATTTATGTTATATATTAATTTACTACAGTTTAAAAATATTTTAAAAAGAATTTAAGATTGTACAATTTTCCCTTTTCTAAAAATGTTTTAACCAAATAAGGGGTAAGGGGCTGAAAATGTAAACAAAGGACATGTTTCCTGTTGTCATCCACAAAGAGGCATTTCGGTGCCTTGCTGCATTCTGTTCCCTTCCTGGTTTGCCCCTATCATCCACCCAAATGCTAATTCTTCAAGGCCCAAGTAAAATGTACGCATCCCCTCCCATCCTGTCTCCAACCACTGTATCCCCAACTATTATATCCCAATAGCAATCCAGTGGGTGAATGAAAAATAACCAGAGTGCAGCAATTATTACGTAAATCTGAATCCAGGATTATACCTGGTCCGTCACTGACACAGGACAAATTAATTGCCTAAGAGTCCAAAAAGAGAGGGGGGGCACTTACTCCTGAATGAAATAGGGGAGGATTCATGGAAGAGGTGGCACGTGAGCAGGGCTAGCGCTGCTGTATGGTACATCTGAAAGGATCGAAGTCTAATAATGATAGCCAATCCCTGGCACGTCACATGGATATAAATCACTTTCTTTCTGACAGACACATGCACACCATAACTCCATTCTTTTGAAAAACATCCTTGGTGGTGGGCTCACGGTGATTAGATTATCCTTATGTTCCTTAAACGTGCGACATAAATCTTGGGTCACCAGCTGGAGACAAAGAACTCTTCTGTCCGGCTTGACATCAGAGATTGATGATGCCCGACAGACAAGGGGAAGCCCATCTTCTTAGTCATGGGGAGGGACAGGGCTCCCCGTGGGCATGAGAAATTGAAACCTGAGCTTGATAGATGCTGAATTCAAGGCAAGTAAAGGGACAGCAATATTGTGAAATATGAGATGATTAGAAAGGAAAAGGCCTAGACAAAGGAAGCAGAGATGCTTGCAATTTACCTGTGATACAAAGAGCAGGTAGGATGCTTGATAACGTAACAAGCTTATTTAATGGTGATAGACTAGCTACATCCCTGGCCTAAGTGACCGCCTAAAAACAGCAGAAGCAATGGTACACACCCCTTTGCATAGGAGCACACCCTTTCTTCATCTACATCAAAGATGATGAAAGTTCAAACTATACGTGTTTTTTTTTTTATATTTTGATTTTTTGAGAGAGAGGAAAGGAGAGGGATAGAGAGTTAGAAATATCGATGAGAGAGAAACATCGTTCAGCTGCCTCCTGCACACTTCCTACTGGGGATGTGCCCGCAACCAAGGTACATGCCCTTGACCGGAATCGAACCTGGGACCCTTCAGTCTGCAGGCCGAGGCTCTATCCACTGAGCCAAACCAGTTAGGGCTCAAACTATACGTTTTTAGACAGAGCCCATGCAAACAGAGTCCCCCATCAAAACCTGGCAGGTGAAAGTTTTTCAATGTAACAGAATGATTCTTATTGATTTAAAAAAAAAAAAGGAAATGCAATTAAAATGCTAATACCTGCTTCGACTTACCCAAATGGATCACCAACCACAAGGAAGGCGACATCGCTGACATCAGCATCCTTTAAAATATTATCTGCTTCTTGCTCCACTTCTTCTCTGTCAGCGAGAATCAATTTCTTTCCGTAGAACTCTTCCTGTGGATATAAGTCCAGTATCAAAATGAGACAGCAGGTGACCATTTCGACACACGCGCACCAATCTTTGTCTGGGCTGGTGCGGATGATTTTGGCAATTATCCAAACAGACCATTGAATACAACTCATCACTGAGCTAGCGGTCTATATCATGTTGTAATTAAACTCTGTCTTTGGGGCTCTCTTAATATCCCCAGAGGAGGCAGACCTCCTAACATCTGGGGCTTTTTGCATTTTAAATCTACCTCTAAATTTGGATCGAGTACACCAGGCAGAACATTGGAGGGTAAACAGAGAATCTGTACGTATGCCTGAGCCTTCCTTCAGAAACACAGTAATACAGAACTGCATTAAACAATCATTATAAACATACATGGCAGTTTGGGTTTTGTTAAATTTTCCACGGGAAAATCTAGGGGACCTTGGCTAAAATAAAAGGTCACACCAATGAGAAATGAGAGAAAATGAAGATGTAGTTGTTTACAGAAGCAGCAAACATTCCTATCTAATTGCGGGAAAGACTGATTTAAAACTGTTTGTCCTAGTTACTGCTAAGAAAGGAAAAGAGGCAGGGGAAAAAGAGAACTCTGAACGTACAGGAAGCCTCCATACGAAGTGCTCCATGAACTTATCCCCTGATGTCAACTCAGGAGAACAAACCCAGGTACCGACCTTCCCTGAAGGGCAGCGTGCGGGCCGGGCGAGGAGAGGGCCTGCTGTGCTGGTGGCCGGCAGTGGTTACAGCTACTACGCAAGGTCAGGAGTCTTGTAACGGACTTCCTGGGCAGTGACGTGTAATGCAAACGCAGTGAAAGTGGATGCATAGCTACGTAATACTATTTCTGACATGCGGATAAAGCTGGCTAGAATCATGAGGATTCTGGGACGAGGATGATATCCTGAGTCCCACATTCTAAGGACTGCTGTAAGGAAAGAGCGTCTGGTTCTCACTGGCCTGCCAGGCAGATGACTACATGGACGAATGAGTCAGCACCTGAAGATGAAGGCTATCGTTCCAAGAGGGACTGATAAGTATTCCTAATGCTTAACCAGAGTCTGTTTCTCAAATGTGAAAGGAAGGTCCTCTCCTCTGCCATTCTTAGAGATAATGTTCTGGAGGTTCCCAGAGACGATGATGGTTTTATGGATGAAAAATGTTCTTTATTTTCGCCGTCACCACACACATCTAGATGAAGGTACTCTGGAACGGGGACCAGAACCTCATCGTTTAAGTCATTTGCTAAGATTCAGATTTAGGGGAAGGACACGTGGGGAAGAAGGGAATAGAGGTCATAGCTGATGGCACAGATTTCTCAGTGCGAAG